GATTCATTTGTATGGTTCATTCTTTCAGTAAAATTATTAGTTGTCATAGGATTTTGCATATTTGGATTATTATAAATACGTTCACCATCAATGAATTGCATTCACTATTCATCACATATTCAATTATTATTCAAGTCATTAATAAGTGATGATTTTTGGTTTATAGTGAGTGGATGAGAATTGATAAAATTTGTATAATAGAAGGCTATTTCAAATACACTTTCTTTAGTACGACATCGCCTAATAAGCTTAAATCCCAATGCAATTTTAAACTTTAAATTAAGTATAAAAATTAAATTAGCTGAATTTAAAAATATGTAATAAAAGTTATAAAACTCACTTAAATAAAGGTGGAATATTCCACTCTTTTAAATTCTCTCCGAATGTCTGCATAATATGGAACCAACATAAGATGGTTCCTTGTATAACATTTTCAACTCCAAGCTTAGTAGCTCGATGTTTATCGATTATTGTGAGTGGATTTCATGGTTGATTAGATACACAATCACGAATTCTTTTAAATCCTTTGTTGTTTGGAAGATCTTCATAATGCTATAAATGCTTACAAGTAGAATCAGTACAAGGTATATTTTTTTAACTGCCATTACAGCTAAGCATACTGTCTAATTATTTTCTTTATTACTTAACCCTAATTATATTAAAGTTTAATATTGTTATCAATATTTAATATTTAAACCCAAAAATAAATATACTATATACTATACATACTGAAAGCTAATAGTGTACCATGCCCAGTATTATTCTCAACAACCATAGTTAGTATAGGAGCACGATCAATATTAAGATCGTATTTGTCATCAATTCCAAAATAAAATTGTCCAAATTCTCGACTATTATGTAGCCAAAACTCATTCGACACAGTTAATTGATAGTAGTAATCTGGAGAATCATCAGGTTTTGTTAAATCAGGCTGCTGGTAATACAGAACATAACCTTTTGGTTTTAATTCCTCTTCAATTAAGTAATGCAATATTGTCCATGGGCCTGAATTATTTTTTAAACGTCTATCTTCACGTACTATAAACTGTTTTAATTTTGTATTGTCACAAATTTCATGACTATTTAATATTGCATTGTTCAATTCTTCTTTTTCAGCACCATTGTATGAAATCAATAATTTGCTCTTAATTCCTTTTATTGTTTGATGATCAGCACTGTGACTAATAACAATCTTATCTTGAACTTCTCTTGTTAAGTTAATTCTTAAAATTTTGGAACAGCATTATTTATTGCATTGGTAGGAAGGTGTGTATCTTCTATTTTAATTCGAAGTAGATAACTTGAATTAAGGTAGGACAATCGTGAAAATGAGTGAACACGAACTGAACAATGATGTATATCATTCCCATTTTGTAAATTATTGCATGTTTGAACAATTAGACAAACATTTTCCAATTCCTCCACATTTGTGTTGACAATTATTTCCATCTCCTTAACAAAACATAATCCACGACCAACATAGTTTGTCTTTTTTATTACCATTTTGAATTTCTTGTATGTATTCATGACCTTTGTTTGTAAGTTTTATAATATCATCAATACGGTTGGTTGATTTTTTATTTCCAGCAGACTCCCACTCTAAAAAATCAGCAGCACCTTCAACTCGACAAAGTGTTATTAATCCTTCTTTAATTAATTGTGGAGTTTGTAAGTGACTTTGAAACTTTAAATGGGTATTTTTTAAGAGGCGATGGTGTAATATGTATGATTCAGCTACACACCCAAAAGAAACAGACACTGTATTATCTTCATTAAAAATTATCTGGTTTTTCAAAGCCATTACTGTAATTATTCCTTGGTTAATATATAAGATATGGTGTAAGCAACGATATAATAGAAGTGTAAGGGGCAGTGTAAGGGCAGTGTAAGTGACAGTGCGAGCAACAGTACAAGCAATGGTACAAGCAACGGTACAAGCAACAGTGAAAGTAACGTTATAAGCAACAGTGAAAGTGATGTTATAAGCAACAGTGAAAGTGATATTATAAGAAACAGTGCAAGTGACAATATGAGTGATGATTAAAATAGAATACACTTCGTTAAAAATAATCAAACTTGAAGATTGCTATTGACAATAACTTTATTCTCGTTAATTCAATATCATTAAAAGAAAAAAAAATCACCTAGAAAAAAAATTCGCTTTTTTCTATTTATATACATTCTATTGACCAACAAATATGCTACATGCTACGTTATACTATACAAGGGGTATCTATGTGACGATTTTTTTGCATAGTATAAAAAGTATATTATGCGTCACTTCCATTAATGTCACACATAGTACCTAGCAAAGTATCAAGAACATAAATCAATTTTTTAGAGTACATTTTAGGCCTTTTATTTGAATTCTATAAAGTCGTAGAATTAAAATAAAAAAAAACAAATATCAAATTTGGCCCAGTGGTTGTGGAGATATCTTTGCTTAAATATTTTAAAAAAAATTGACGCAGCATTAATTTAGATAGATGTTTTGATTTTTCTTTAACTTTGAGCGAAGATATCTCCACAACCACCAGACAAAAGTTAAAGAATTTTTTTTATTTAAAATCAGTGAATTCATATAATTCAAAAAAATAAAAAAATAAAAAAATAAATATTAAATTTGGCCCGGTGGTTGTGGAGATAACTTCGCTCAAATATTTTTAAAAAAATTGGCACAGCATTAATTTAGATAGACGTTTTGACTTTTCTTCAACTCTGAGCGAAGATATCTCCACTACCACCAGACAAAAGTTAAAGAATTTTTTTTTATTTAAAATCAGTGAATTCATATAATTCAAAAATATATATATATATTAAATTTGGCCCGTGGTTGTGGAGATATCTTCGCTCAAATATTTTAAAAAAATTGGCGCAGCATTAATTTAGATAGATGTTTTGATTTTTCTATACCTTTGAGCGAAGATATCTCCGCAACCACCAGACAAAGTTAAAGAATTTTTTTTATTTAAAATCAGTGAATTCATATAATTCAAAATAAAAAAAAATATTAAATTTGGCCCGGTGGTTGTGGAGATATCTTCGCTCAAATATTTTTAAAAAAATTGTCGCAGCATTAATTTAGATAGACGTTTTGACTTTTCTTCAACTCTGAGCGAAGATATCTCCACTACCACCAGACCAAACTCGATGAATTTTTTTTTATTTAAAATTCTATGAATACATAGAATTCAAATAAAAAAAAAATTATCAAATTTGGTCCAGTAGTTGTGGAGATAGCTTCACTCAAATTTTAAAAATTGGTATAGCTTCTATTAGTCTATTCTATAAACGCTTCAAGAACGTAAATCAATTTTGGGGTACATTTTAGACCTATCAAAAAAGTAACCGCAGATCTATCAAAAACGATACTTTTGCTTCCCGCCCGTCCAGATCTGCTAGATCTGCCGGATTCGCCAGATCTGGAGGATCAGGATTGTTTGGGTGAAATGGCGGATCTTAAGGATATGGACTATAAGGCTGATAATGGGTTTATTGATGATATTTGGGATATGGGAGATTCCTGGGATGTAAATAATAGAATTTTCAATTATAAATAAAGGCCCTTCCGCCCTTGGGAATAATAACTCCCACCTTTGCTTTATTAAAATTACTTTATCATATAATTATTCCGATAACACACTATCACTATTAATAAATCTATATACTTCGTAATTTGAGTAATTACCCATAATAAAATTATACGTTTAACATACACCTTCGTTACGAACCCTACCTCCACTGTGTTAAACCTTGGTTTTGTCCCAACCTAAAAATATACCACTCGACTAAATCTAACACGCCTCTTTCGACCCCAAAGTAACCTGGTTTGGTTACACGGACCTTCCTTTCGATTCAGCGACAGACTCGCCGTTTTCGGGTCTGACAACGTCTGTTGAAATATCAAAAATAGGGTGTGGAAATATCAGTTCCCTATAAAAATTATATAAATTCTATTTATATCTACATAAAAATGACTTTGGCTATTTCTCAAAAATGACTAAGGTAATCAGTGTTTGATATACTAAGTAAAATGTTCAGCAGACCAGAAAACACCCCCAAACCCCTAATTTAAGGTTTATAATCTATTTCTAGCTTTGAAATTTTTTCAAAATTTTACATAATTCTAAATAGATATATATGAATTTATATAAATAGCTATGTAAATCTACATTGGGTTCATAAAGCTACATAGAAATTCTACATAGTTCTACATAAAAATTCTACGTAACTCTATGTAAAAACAACTTCGTGAAGTAGTTATATGTCAGAGATGATTTGAGCCAAAAAAGTTTGTTATGAAAAGTTGGTTAAATACGAAAAGTAATTTTATAATCACAATAAAGCCTTTATCTAATACTTATTAAATTGTTCTCTTGATTTCCTCAACTATTGTAATTATGTATTAATACAAGCTTTTATCCTTGGTCTAGTTGTAAATTCTATATATTTATCATTTCGCATCTACTGTAAAAAAATTACTATATAAACACGCGGAATAACGCTCAGGGATATTCTTTCGAATTTTAATTTGGGTCATTAATCAAAATAATGTCCCTGGTAGTTATTTCGTGCTTGTATAGTACGAAGATAGAGATGCTCTTTTATCACATTAATTCGTGCTTTTTTTGATTGAACATATTTTACAATAGCTTATATATTAACGCAAACGCAAACGTAATACCAATCACAAGCATCTTAATAAGTGAAGTTACATTCTTGTTTAATAATTAATAACCCATTTACATCTTTTAAAACAAAGTAATCAAGCAAAAGGAAGATATATAAATGTTAACATATTAATATTTCAACATAGTACTACAATTTGCTACATTTCCTGAATTTAATTATTTCAAATCTAGTGGATTATAGTTTTTGAAGACTTCATTATCCCTCAATGTCACTCTAAAATACTTGATATTTAAAGAGAACTTAATTCATCTCCATCATTAGTGTCGATAACTAAAATGTATTCTCTGATCAATTCTGAAATCAAGTTTTTATGTATTTTTATTTGCTGAAGATTTTACACCAGTCCATTCCTGTAAAAATTCATTAAATAAAACATCCGTTCTACAATTTTTAACAAAAATTATAACCGTTTTTAGGACAATCGTAACATCTTGAATAGCTTGTTCGAATAATTCACTCCTTTTGGCCTTTTCCAAAGCATTATCATTAAGTATATTTATAACAATAACATTGATCAATAAATAATAAATAACAATTTAATAATTTGAATAATGTAGATATACAAACCTTTAAACAAATTTTCGCATATGAAATAATGTAATTGGTTCCTATTAAACATTATCTGACTTATAGTTGTTAGACGAAACCTTTTTTGCTTGGTTAAAAAAGACGAAACTTAAACCCCAAAATGACGAAACCCCTGACCCTCAAATTCTGATGACGAAAGACGAAACCCAAATTCAAAATGACGAAACACTAGTGCTCCCGCTAAAAAAAAAAAAAGAAAAGAAACTGGATTGATGAAACTTTATGATAATAGTGAATCCTTACTTCTCTCGCTAAAAATTTTGGTTTTGATGAAGCTATTAATAAAAATAATAAAATTATCTCTATAATTTTAGATATTTAACTCATTGATGAGACTTTTATTTATATTTAATACTGAAGATGTTTATTGACTTGTACATATATTTAGGTTTTAAAAAGCCAATTACAGGGGATCGCTAAAGCCTTGTACCTACGTAATTTTTGAAGATTTAATTGTAATTAGGGTTAGGGTTAGTTTAGCGTTAGGGTAAGAGTAGTTTTATAGGTAAAATTGCCTCCCCGACATTTTTTATTAATGCAACAAGACAGGTTTAGGCCGCCGTTTTTCATATTTTTGCATTTTTTTTGATTTTTTGACTAACAAATTTCATGATTTTGATTGGTTGATCTGCATATAAAAGTCACATGGATACAAGGCTTTAGCAGACCCCAAATAAGGCAATTTTGAGTGTTTTGATAGACAAGGATCTACAGAAATCAAAAAAATTGGCCCATATGGGCTTTTAAAGTTCTTTAGATAAAACGTGAAAAATACAAAAAAGAAAAATGATTCAAATAAAAATTAAGCGTTAAAAATTAGAGTTTCCCGATGATCAATATGAGACCGGGAACCTTCCGTGAGAAGATTCCCGGTCACAATATGATTATTATAAATATAGTTAATGACGTGTAAAAAATAATAATGAAGGTAGTTATAAGTGATACTTAGTGTGACAGGGGATTATGATTATAAATTGCCGGATAACACTGGGCAAACTGCCGAATACGGTAATTTGACAAATAATTGGCTACACGTGCCGCTTTGCGGCATGTGCTCATTTGCCAAACCGTTATACAATTTTTGCCCAATAATGTACACCTATTATTGATAACGAAAACCTAGCTGAATGATTTCTCGGCCGATTCGTGATTCATATAATAAAAGCTATTTGATTGATTATAATGATAATGTCAACATTATTAAAATTTTTGTTCGAATGCTTGTCCAACATGTTTGGTATGTATGAAAATTTATGGAAAAGAATGCTCTTGTCAACTCAACAAACCTTAGCAAGAAATATTTAAAAAGCTCTGGATACAATTTAGATTTTTGTAATGAACATATTATATGAAATAGCACAAATATTAAAAAAAAAGATAGTGTATTGTATATCCAAGTTGATTTATAGCCCTTCAAATTGTCATAAAACTAATTTTACGTCTAACCAAAATTCCATCTCTAAATGCATAAAAATACCAGCTATGTTTTTTTTTCATTGAAGTTTTAAGATATTTTATCTCGTTCGCGTCTTTCCTAAATTTGATGAAAAATTTTCAATATACCCGTATCTTTGAGTGCTTAAGAACCCTTATAGAAGGTCTATTGACGCTTAATTTTTTGAGTCGATAAGTTTTTTTTTCAATTATTGCATTTGTCAGAGATGCTTTGAAAGCATAATATTTTGTATTCAACCAGAGATATATATTGTCGCAAAATGACACACAGAGGTGTAATTTCAAATTTTGGCCTAAATTAAACTTAATTCGGGCCATTATTCAAATAATACCAATGTGCGTTATTTCGGACTGGGGTAAAATCGCCACCCAAAAAAGTGCAGAACTTAAATGTGTGACAGGTTACGCTAATTGATCAACATCAGCCTATATTAAACAGTTTTTAAATGTTATTGTTAGATTGAAAGAGCGTTAGAAAGAAGAGTTATGTAAAATCTATACCAAAATTATGAGTTTCTTAGAGCACCAAGAGTGGTTTAATAGGTAATTTTGTCGATCAACCTGTCACACATTCTAGATGTGCCAAAAAGGGGAATGCTACCGAAACAACAAGACACGTGACTTATCTTCTTATCGACACAGCAGTGATGCAAAACATTCATTTTTGATACACCTGCACCTACTTTTTTGATACTGATCGACATGCAGATCCCGGTAAAAAAT